TGGGGGGGGGGGGGGGGGGGGGGGGGGGGGTACACCTCGTAAGACTCCGACGGTGAGAACATGGGAGATGTGGTTGGGGATGATGTCTTGCAAGCAAGGTGCGACTGGGGCGGGGGAGGGGGGGGCACGTCATGGGCGCTCAAGACTCCGACAGTGAGAGCACGGGAGACGTGGCTGGGTGGGGATTCTTACGAGCAAGGTCGCCCGACTGAAGGAGAGTGGGGGCACCTCTTGGGCGCCAAGCCTTCGGCTTGACGGGCAGGAGAGACTTTTGGTGTTAGATTCATTCTGCGCGAGGCCACGGCGGGGATGGTGCATCACCAGCTGGTATCCAACAACACCTAGGACCCCCGCCAACGAAATAATGAAGTATTCATCCCTTGCCCTTCTCCGGCGGCCCGCTCCGCAGGGCAAAGACAACCCGGGCGCGCGCGCGGCCCTCCTGTCGGGAGTGCCCGGGGTGGGCAAGTCGTCCACGGCGACGCTGGTGGCCAGAGAGATGGGGTACCACGTGATGGAGCTCAACGCGAGCGACACCCGCAGCAAGCGGTCGCTGTCCGAGGAACTGGCGTCGGTGATTGGCAACAAGGTGCGCGCTACACGTGGATAGATGGGGCACAGGCAGAGGGGTGTGGGTGTCGTCATCATGGTTTGATATTCGCGTTTGAGGGGTCGAAAGCTTCTCCACAAGCTGCGTGAGTCGGTGATTGGTAGCAAGGTACGCGCTACACATGTTGATGGGTGGATGGATGGATGGTGGCACAGGCAGAGGGATGTGGGTGTCGTCATTATGGTTTGTGCGGTGCTATTGTTGGTATGTTGCGGTTGAGAGTTCGAAATCTTGAGCTTCGCTTCACGGGAAAATGCTTGCCGGCGTCGGTGAGTGACAACAAGGTTTGGTCTACACATGTTGATGGATGGATGGATGGATGGATGGATGGATGGGTCGACCGGCAGACAGATGAGGTTTATCGTCATCATGGTTTGTGCAGTCTTTGACATGATGTTTTTCAGCTTAGGAATCGAAAGCTTCTCTAAACGGAGGAAATGCCCGCTGGCGTGGGCGATTGGCAGCAAGGCGTGCGCTACACATGTCAATGGATGGATGGATTGGGGGACAAGGCGGACAGATGTGGGTGTCGTCATCACGGTTTGTTCAGCGCCTTGATTTAATTTTTTTCAAGGGATCGAAAGCTTCTCTAGATGGAGGAAGCCTGCTAGCGACCGCTGGATGGAGCTGTCGAAAGCTGCTCTGAAACGGTCGACAGCTGCTGGAAAAGCAGATGAGACAGGTTTCGAACAACAGTTCCAGGGTATAGCTTTTACACCGCCCTACACGACCTGTCAAGTGGTTTGCCCTAACGCCCAAAGGTGCGGATATTTTAAAAGTGCCGAGCAGAGATCGGACCGAAACGGTTTTCAATATGAAGACACCAACGACAAGGGCAACAACAACGACATGAACAACAACCGCCACAGCACCGGCAACAAATCACTAACCCTTCACGAACAACCGCAACAAATGCCGCATGCTGCTGCTCCTATCTCCTCACATTTACGTCTTCCCTCTACGACAACAATATAATTGAAACACAGGTGCTGTCGTTCACGGCGAACGGCGGAGGCGGCGGAACCACAACAGGGGGGTTCCGCAAGCAGCTGGTTGTCATGGACGAGGTTGACGGGATGGGGGGCTCAGACAGGGGCGGCATCCAGGAGCTCATCCTCCTCATCAAGAAGAGCAGGGTGCCGATCATCGCCATCTGCAACGACCGCCAGCACCAAAAAATTAGGTACTGTAAATATTTATTGTGTTGTTTCTGTTTGAAGTCGTTGTCGACCGCGCACACCGGCTGACGAACGTGGGGGGATGAGTGTGTTTTGTGCCTGTTTGCCATTATTGTTAACCGTCGGCCGAGCGATACCGGTATGAGCCCATGAGAACAGACGTCAGTCTCACTGCGGCTACTAAAGTGTGTGTGTATTAGCATGGACCGCGCTAACCTGCTGGGCCAATGAAAGCGCGTCAGCCTCGGCAGTGCGGCGAAACGTGTGTGTGCATATTTAGGGTGGACCGCGCAACCCGGCTGAACAACGAAAACGCGTCAATCTCAAGCGTGGCGGAGATCTGGGGTCCCACGAGCGGGGGTGAGGCTAGGCTGTTATCCGGAACCATTGTGTGTGTGTGTCGTGTGTGTCTCGTGAGAGGGGGTCTTTACCAAGCTAAATCCAAATGATCCCACGTACCCCCCCCCATCCCCCGACGGCCGGCGGCCACAATGAGCAACAGGTCCTTGGTGAACCACTGCTACGACCTGAGGTTCGCGAGGCCTCAGAAGGTGACCATCGCCAAGCGGGTCAAGGCGGTGGCGAAGATGGAAGGGATGGACGTCGACGACAACGCGGCGGAGATGCTGGTGGAGGCTAACGGGAACGACATCCGGCAGGTACGTGTATGTAGACTAGGACGCGGCGGGGCTTGCTTGCTTGATTGGGTTTGAGTGAGCAGGTATGCGGGGATAACATGGGGGGGGGGGGGGGGGGGTTGGGGGGTTTTCACCTATTGGGGATTGGGTTTTGGAATGTTTTTTTTTAAAAGA